ATTTTTTTAGTTCCAGGTATATTTTAGATATGAGACCCTTGTCCGTTGTATGGCTAGTGAAGATCTCCCAGTCTGTAGGCTTTCTATTGATCTTGCTAGCTATGTCCTTTGCCATGCAGAAGCTGTGCAATTTCATGCAATCCCATTTGTCCAACCTTTCTTTGATTTGTTGTGTTTCTAGGTGGCCATCTGATTCTTAATGCTAAGGAAAGTAGAGATCTAGATAATTACAATGCAGAGAAAATGTAGGAACAATTAAGACTGGGTCCTGTTCACACTATAGCTTTGAGCCTGGTGATTGTGGAACTTGCTCAAAGCAATCCTGCTGCTCCTTGCAAAACAAGTGTTAAACTAAAATTAACCAAGTGGGTTATTTTGTGCTGGTATAATCATAGATGGTGTGCTAAGTCATAAATTTCAGTACAGGCTGGTGATAGCAAGTGCCGATCTTGTAAACACAGAGCTGACTTATTGCCACATACTTTGTACATGTTTCTGTAATTGAGAGAAGTCTGCTATTATTTGATCTTGGCATTCCATCCTGGAACTACTGGAGAAACATTGTTCTTGGCCATCACTGTTGGCAAGGAAAACAAGCCTTTGCCTAGGGCTTTGGGCAGAAACTGGGGTCTCACTCTTTGTTTCACCTTCATTAAAAAAAAAAAAAAACTTAGTTACTGCCAAGACTGGTGGAATTGCCCAGAAGAGAGGACTGATTATTTGTCAGTGGTCAGAGTCCCAGCTGCTTTATCTTTTGTCTTTAAACAATAGAAGGTGGAGTGGGAATGGGTGCCAGATAGATTCCCTGGGGCCAAAGCAATAAAATTCTGCCTTGGGCATGGGTAAAAGAAAGCTCTGAAATAGGATACAGTTTGTTTTTCACTTTTGTTTTCAAGATGGGCTATGTACAGCTAAGGGCATTCTTAGAAAATGACCTGTAGATTTTCTGTCTCTCACACATGCAACAAATAGTAGGTTGTGATCAACAGCTTAGTATTTAAACCCAAAGATAATCACCAATTCTATTTTTAAAATCTTCTGGACTATAATATTGCCAAACAGTTAGGGTTGCCTTGAACTTCCTAACGGTGAAAACACTCGAACATTTCTGGTCCTTTTTAATTTACCCAGTCATGTTATTGTGGAAAGAGCTGAAATACAGTTGCTGAACTGCACTGAGAATGAATCTGCTTTCCTTCTAATGTCCCTAACATTGTATAAATGATGAGCTGCTTGTCTGAGCAAAAAATGTTTCATCAGCTTCTCATTAAAAACAATTACATGTATACAGTTTTCTGTGTTTTAATTTGAAAATAAAAATATAAATTTAAATAATGAATAAGTAAATGTACAAAAAGTACATGAATATTCAAAGCATACCATATACTTTTTAATTACCCTTCCTGTTCTCTGTATTGCACTGTTTCTTCAGCATGAACAATTTAATTTCTGGTTTGTCTCTATTTTCTTTTGTCTGACTCCTCTGCTTTTGGACCATTCTCATCTTCCTTGCTATTCCAGGACTGATGATTTCACATTTTGACTTTTATTGAGTAGATAGAGTAGTTTAATAATAATAATGCATTTGTCCATTTTTACTGTCCCTGCTTCACTCACATTGAATGACCTCTCCTTGCGCTTCAGAAACAGGAAAAACAGATCGTGCAACAAGGCCTCCAGGACTCTCATGGTCTGGTACATTTCTAAATCCTTTCCTAGTACCTCATCCTCACATGTTCTCTGTAGCTCCCCTCTCTTCTCTTCTTCCTCTCTTCTATGATTTTCTCTGTATCTGTACTTCACCGTTGATCTGTCTCAATTTCTTCCTTTCTCTGGCTCTTTATCTGTCTTTTGAATGGAACACATTTGTAATGTGAGGGGTTTTCACTATTTTATTTTGATATATTCATACAGTGTATTATGAACAAATAGTAGGTTCCATATATGTGCATGTAATATACAATGTAGAATGGTTTTGTGTAATACATAATTTTAC